GTCCATTCCATTCTTGAATGCGAGCTTCAACGACATCGTTGCCAAGCTGTCCGTTCCTGTGGACCATATGATGTCGGCGAATCATGGTTTGTCGGGGCCGTGGTTGGGCCCGCTCGTAGACGTCTTGGAGGCTGCCGACGGCGTGGACACGCTGGACTCCGTGGCGATCAAGAATCTTCCCGGCGTCAAGGCTCAGGCGACGTTCACAAATGTGCACCCCTTCAAAGTCGCCGGGAGCATGCTCCAGGATCTGGGCGTGATCAAGTTTCTGCGCGAATCCGCTGTGACTCCGCCGACAGCGCCGGCACCGGCTCCAGCCCCCAAACAGATGCACAGCTGGAGGAATGCGGCTGACGAGGTCATGCCACCAACAGACGTGGAAACAGTCCAGGAGGTGGAAGCTGCTGTGGCCAATCGAGTTCTCAAGGCTGAAGCAGCAAGCGAACATGCAATGGAGTCGCTCGAGAGCGAGCTTCCACCAACACCAACGAAGCTAATCCCGCTGAAGGCGACGATCTCGATGGGCCCTAGCCTGGGCCACTTCGACACCCACGAGACGGTTTCCTACATGCTCTTCCACGAGAACAACAAGGCCGCAGTCGACCCCTCCCTGGGCATGCAGATCGAAGTGAACGTTACAGCCGCCAGCGCAGAGGCAGCCGCAAGCTTTGCAGAGTTGTGCAACAGCCTGGTACAGAAGTTGAACACCGGGCCATTCTTGGAAGTTCACAGCTACGGCAGCCTGGTCACCATCTTGAGTATGCCGTTGCCAGGCGGAACAGCAGCGGACGGACTGCGCTCGCTCGTCCCGATCATGAAGCACATTGGCCACTTGACCTTCAACGTGTCCGCCAACAACAACATCGAGCATATGATGGCGCACCCGGATGATTCGATCTGGAAGCAAGCGAAGACTGGAGCAAAATTCATGCTGGATGCGACTCTCACCAACGCTGTTGAGAAGGCCCTTGTTGACCGCTTGAATGCTAGCAGTGGCCACGACGAAGTAGAGTGCCCAACAATGGAGGCTCCATGTTTAGATACTGATCACCCAGGCAGCTGCTGCTCGCTCAGAGCATGCGTGGCTCCTGATGATGGTGAAGAGAGTGGTCCTAATTGGCAGGAGATCCAGTGCAAGTACAACCAGACCTGTGCACCTCTCTGTGGTGGCAGCGCAGTCGCGAAGACACCTCGGGACTATGCTCTGGCGATGAGCGAGAAGCTGATGCAGATCTTCACTGGTGGCTCATTGGATGTCCGTGTGGCCTACGATGATGAAATTGTCAAGGGCATTTTCGCTTCGCTCCCCGTGCTGAACATGACCTTCCGAAGCCTTCAGGAGCAGTACAGGTCCTTGGCACAGCAGAATCACTTGGAGAAATTTGCATCCCACCCGTTCGCTGCAGCAGGCGTGGAAGTCATGAATGCAGTGAACAAGGACTTGGTGAGCATTGAGTCGGTGGAGCTCAAGAACCTCCCGAGTGACATTAGGCTCGTCATAAAGTTGGAGAACGCGAAGCCTTTCCAGTTCATCTTCGCTCTCCTCGAAGGCAGTGGCATCCTCGGCATGCTCGCAGGTGCGCCTGAGCCCGGCCCCGCGTAGTTAGTTGGCCACCGCTCGGCCATGTTCTTGACTGCGCTACGTGCCGAGAACCGACGTGAACGTGCAGTTGGCGTAAAAGGCCACCACAAAAGGTCCGCAAGTTGAGACAGACGTTGCGTTGTTCGACCTTTTCAACAGTGGCATGGTATGGGAGTGCTATCGGACCGAGGGCTTTGGAGTCTCCAGTAGTGTGGCTGCATCCCAGCAACGCAGCAAGCCCCCCAAGGAAATCCGATTGCAAACCTAAGATGGAGAACCCTGAATCCCAACTCTTAACCCCAAAACCGAAAACCCAGCGTGTCTCCGGAGGTCAGGGACTTTGGTCCAGGCATGAAAGCTGCGCCACCCGTGTGGGAGTTCGAGGCCAAAGTAACACGGAGGAGGAGAAGCACAGGGTTTAGGGTTACGGTTTCAGTGTTTTGGATCCATTGTTGTTGTTTGTTCAATGTGGTTTTAGGCTTTACGGGTCTAGGTTTTGGTGTTCATTCTAGTTTTTCGGGTTTGGGGTTTGAGACTGAGTTCTAGGCTTTTCATTTTGGGCTTTGTTCCAGGGCCCAAGGCTGCTGCGCAAGGTGTTCGGTTCACTAGCAGGGTTTGGGTTTCGGGGAATTCTAGGAGTCTAGGGTTTGAGGAGTGTTTTTAGGCCTTCGGGTAGCACAAGCCTTGTGAGAAGTGTAGTTCGGGGCTTGCATTCAGCTCTCTTTTCGGTTCGGACGAGTTTCCCTGACGCCCTGTCGTTTGCGAAGGTGCACATGCAAGATCAAGGAAATGAGAAAGATGAGAAAGAAGCCGGGTTTGGTGATGCATGCAGACCTGAACATCACAAGACTTGACTAGACGGCTTTTCGATGGGCGTATCCTCATTCGCCCTGCCCAGACATAACTCCGAGCGAGCAGTCGGGGTTCAACGAATGCCACCCACCTGGATTGGTGGTAGAGCATGTGTAAGTCATGTTGAATGTTATGCCATGGTAGGTTTTTCTGACCATTGGTGCTGAAAAGTGGTGATATTATCTCCCAGTATGTTAGAACTACTCTTAATGACTTATCGTTTGGTTTGTTTGGGTGTTATCCGAGACACGCCCGGCCCCAAAGCGGTTGAGTTATCGCTAGAACTCGCTAGCAGGGCTTGGTGGGTGCAGGGTCCACGAAGGCGCACCCGGCCCTAAAATACACCGAAGCCGAAGCCTTGTAAACCCTGAGCCACGCTTCCAAATCTGAAACCCCATATCCTCCACCCTAAACCCTAAAACCTAAACCCTAGACCCTATAAACCCTAAACCCAGGTTCCGAAAGCTCTAACCGCCAGACGGAAAAAGGTGCTCAAAAAAAAACCCTAAACCCAAAGCCTGAACCCCGGTCTCCTAAATCGGTTTCGAAGGCCGGTACTGGCTGGAAACCCTTCGGTGATGACTGCCAAGACGAGGCGGTTCAGGGTGCAGGGTTTGGGATGGAGCTCGGGTTGGGTTTACCCATAGGCCCCTAAGTAGTTGCTTTTTGGGATTACCTTATAGGATGCTAAATATAAGCCATAAAAAGGAACTACTTAGGGGCCTATGGGTAGTTTACGGTGTAGGATTAAGGTCCTGCAGATGCTGCGGGGCTTAGGCTTGGCAAAAAGCTCTAGGAGGATCTCTTCGGGTTTGGCTATGTTCTGGTTGGGCATGTAGGCATATCACCGTAAGAGGGTTGGGTTAACTCTGGTTGGAGGTATCATACTTTTCTCAGGTTTTTCCGACGAGTATTCACCTGGTTTCTTTCTGGGTCGCAGAGTGGGCAGGCCCCGAAAGGCAAAACACACACTCTTACCAGCCCCAGTGTACGAAGCCCTAACCCTACAGCCGTGCTGAATGTCTGAAACCTTTCAGGATCCAGAATCGCTGCGACCAACCACCTATGCAGTAGTCCTTGCCGGAGTATGTAGGAACTAGCTTCAGGCCAATACCAGCCCAAACCTTGCTACAACCCTAAGCCCGCAGCCTAAGTCCACAACACACTTCTCCTACACCCGAAGCTCACCAGAATTTGAGCGGCCTAAACTCTAGACCCTACGGGGTTTGGGATTGACATTGCCACCCCTTACTTTCCAACAAATCTCCTTAAACTCCATGATAGCCCATGCCTAAGCCTTGTAAAGCATCCAGAGCCAAAAACCATAAATCCTAAGCCGGAGTAGGTATAAACCTTTATAGCACCCCTTCAAGGAACCCTTGTCATAGGAACCTCTGTCAATAATTACTAACATTCATTAGGGCACTTGGTGCAATCACAGTTTAGTATAGCCCCAAAACCCTCTTCCCAAAAACTAAACCCTCATAGTAGCCCTTATATGAGCCCCGTAAAGCAACCCTTGAAGGAACCCTATCACAACTATGAAGGCCCCTAGACTAAACCATTTTATAGTGCTACTAAAAGAACCCTTGAAGGTGCCCTCGCAAAAAAAAAAAACGATCACGGCCCTGATACTGTTTAGGGTTCAGGATTAGAAAAGACTAGTTCCCTAAACCCTAAACTCCCTTTGTCTCATATCGGGGAGACTGGCAGGTCGAGAAGTTGTACCAAAGCTTCTGCTCGGGAGGCAGCCGGCGCATTGAGGCCCAGAGGGTTTTCGCGGGTTTAGGGCGGACCATGGAGGGCCTCGGATTCTCTGAGGGTTTTTTTCGGGTTCAGGGTTTTTGGGCCTAGGGCTTATGAGGGTCCAGGGTATAATTAGGTTTCGGCACCAGCGAGCGGGGCCTACTAGCATTTTGGAGTGTCCTTTCAGATCATTCTGTAAGCAGACACTGTGCAGACCAAGCTCAAGGTTCATTGCAAGGATCTGCCTGAAGATCCAAACTTCGACCCTACACCCGGCATCTTGCTGACGGCATTCGTCACGGAACCGTTTCGTGTTCAAAGCCGTTGCACAGGTCGTCTTCAGGTTTTCGTAAAAGCTCTGAGTGCGCCTTGAGGAGCGCTAGAGCAGCTGTTGCCGTGGCCCTCTCGATGACTTGCCGTAGTGTTTTATGCTCGCCGCGATTGAGTGATTTGATTTTTGACTGGAAGGGTTCAGCAAAAAGAACAACGAATATCAGCCCAATAACCACCACACCATACTGCATATCACACACCACATAACACGCATGATCACGCATGTCTATGAGTAGAGTATACTTGTGGACGTGTAATTTCACGTATGTAGACCGCACACACACGTGTACATGGCTTCATGGCAAAATGCAATGTATCTCGGAGGTCAAGACTCAAGGAATGTCCGTTTCCTTGGATTTTCAAAAGATGACCTCTCTGGCCGCAGACCTACTTGGGGAGATTGGGGGCCGGAACGTTGGAGCTTGAATCGGGTGCCCAGGGTGTTGACCAGCCAAGCATTGTGCTCTTCTCGTACTTGAAGCTTCTTTGCTCGGACTTGCTGGCAGTTGTTTGTTCTCAGGTCGTTGGTGGGCGCACGGTGCGCAAAATGAGACGGAGCACATCCGACACAGAATGACTGACCTGCACTACGTAAGGTTTCACCACTCCCAATGAAGTCGAGTCCGATCCTGTTCGCAATACATGGGGTTGCAACACGAAACAGCAACAAACAAATACACACCACACACACACATGCCTTGTTCGGCGAAGATAATAGTATACTTTTACAGTGATAATTGATGGTGTGTAAAGGTACATATATATATATATAGAGAGTTATATATACTTATTGTATGTATACATAGACATCTTTTATATGAATAGGAAATGTCATACATACCTGATCTCCTGCGTGGGGGTTCAGCCCAGTACAGCTCGGCGAGGTTCCAGGATCTCGCGGACAATTCATTTTTCTCATGGACACATCTATCTAACGGGCAGATGTACACAGCACCCAGTCTGTTGATGTCGAAGATCTGCAAGAAACCCTGAAGCCTCTCGCCGATTGCCCCGCCGTCTTAAAGTAGTGCGGCACACGCAAGTTTTCCTGCACGCCTTCACTTTGTACACCTCCGTGGAATTGGTGCGCTGTGTGTACAGTTGCGCACTTCGGGCTCATGCTGAAGCTAAGTCTTGCAGGCTGCTTTTATTTGCAGCAGTAGGACTTGGGAATGTCATCGCTGATAATTAACTCCGCGACCGTTTTCTACCGCCTATCTATTACAATTGCCTGGTTGGGTTCGGTGTCGAGGGCATGATAACTCGTGGACATGTTTGCCAAGCTTGACCGTAAGGATCGGGTTCTCGTACAGCATTGGTAGGACATCTCCGGCCACATTGCCTGCTGCAGTATGAGCTCTGGGCCTCAAGCATGCAGGCTTTGTGCTTGATGGCAGAAAACGACGTTACAGGCAAGCGTGAGGCAAGTCCTAGAGTATGTTCACTTGGCTAGGACAGGACATGTCCGAGCTCGACTGACTTTCGCTTCAGTGGTCGCTTCTTGTGGGCTTACGGCTTGCGGTAGACATTTTTCAGTTTCTGGAACGAGCACCGCAGAACGTGGTTTTAACCCGTCGTCGGCAGCTGGCTTTGTTCACCAACCCTCAGTGGCCCGGGTCCGCCTCTTCTCAAAGGCACATCATGGCAACATGAACTTCAGTAGCTTGTCACAGTTCTGATCCTGGTGATGGTGGCACAAGCAAGGCGAATGGTGCATGGCCTGCCAGCGGCCTGAATACGTCTATTTCTAAGGTGTGTTTGGCCATGGACTCGTAGAGCTGTCCATCTCTTTGGTTGCAGCATTCCCGTTTACGAACCGTGGTGCCATCTGCTGAAGATCGAAACTTGGATCCCAGAGTGCCTAAAAGCCCCTCAACCCCCAAGTATTATTATCAGCAGTATCAGCAGTAGTATTAGTATGTAGAATTTCGTAATAGTACTAATTGGTACTAGTATTGATATTAGTATTGGAATTAAATACACTCTAGACCCTCCACCCTTCTTAATCGCAGGCCAACAGCGGTTCTTCAGGTTTTAGGTTTCGGGGTTGCGCTCGGCCCGCGCGGCTATGCCTGCCACGTCTTTGGAGCGCTTTAGACGCTTGGTCGGAACTCGTGTTAAGGGTTTTATAGGGGTTCAGGGTTTGGGGTGTCGGGTTGTGGCTTGGGAAGACGAGGCGTTCATCTGTGCTGCTGATTGAGGCCTGGTTAAAACTGGCCGCCTTCTTTTTTCGGGGGTCTTTGAGGGTTTCCGGGCTTTTTGAGGGCCACTTGTCTCGGGAGCTTTGGGTTGCTTTGGGTTCTTGAGTTGCCGGTCAGTCTCAGTGTTTTGGGTGAGGCTACTGGAGCCACCCTCAGCCCAAAGCTGAAATCCTAGATCCGCCCTGCGAAGCATGCGAAGCCTCTTATCCGAACAGAGTCGCTTGCATGGCGACGGGAGCTGATTCACACCAACATTCCTGACGACATTCCACGTCGTGGGTTCTTGAGGCAAAACCCAAAGAGCTAGGTTTCTGGGATGTCACCGAATTCCGGCTTCTGCTCGTGATCCCTTCTTATTACCACTCATGCAGCCGTCCGATGGCGCGGCATGTCAAGGAGGGTGAGTGAGTTTGAAGACTTTTGCACTTTTGGGGGTTCGGCTGCATGGACTGTTGGGACTCCTAAAAAGGTCAGCCCGGTTTAAATTTGTCGGCTGTGGCTGAGGTCACCGTTCTCGCCTTGGCCGGCCCCTTCCGTGGGAGAAGGTCCGGCGAATGCTGGTTCAGGGTTTAGGGTTTGGGGTCCAATAGCAGGTGTTTGGTACGGGCCGGCCAGCGTTACTGACAATCACATTTCTTCTGCTTCGGAAGATAGTTCCAGCCCCTCTTCCCGTTGGTTTAGTTCTGATGTCTTGGTGTGACTAGCGGATGTGGGCTTCGGGGTCCGCGGCTCATTGGAATGCTGCTTCCGGTTTGGGTATGTTGCGGATTTCCGCAAAGTTCGATGGCTCTGGAAGATCACAGAAGACACATCTGTACAAGCACGAAGACCCAAGAGTAAGCCGCCATAGCTGCTGCTGATGGACTCTGGCCCATTCTGCATCTGGAGCATCACAGGCGCAGAGGATGCCAGGCTGCAGGCATTTCGCGGATTAAAGCATCGGAAGCTGCCTGCGGACATTGTCCTGGCAGAAGGAGCCTTGATGGCAAAAACCGAATTAGCATGATTAGCATAACATCCGCAGTATAACGAGTTATCGTGAACTGCTTGTCCGGGTGACCTGGCCGGCTGGACAGGTTATGATGCAGTCCTATTGCTCTTAACGAGCCAGCATTCCTGTAAAGAAGTGCTGCTGCAGCCTCACATGGAGTCGGAAGTCAATCGAGTTCTTCAGGGGCGTCCCGCAGATGTTGGAAGAGCTGGGCCTTCCAGCATCCTCAGTAGCAGCATTGAAGTCATCGAGGAAGTAACGGAGATCCGCTTGGGAGCTGGCAGGGCAAAGTTGGCTTTCGCTTTGGCAGACCGCCGAAGGGCCCCTGCAAGTCTGCATTCCGTACTTCCAGGAATCACTGCTGATTTTGGCAAAGACTTTCGGTCTGCGACCCTTTGAAAGGAACTCAGAGCCCCTGACCCTGAAACCCACAGCATTCCGCAGCGTCTTCTTCGGATTTCCCCGCCTTTCAACACGGTGCTTATCAGAAACTATATAGGGCACCAGAGCGACATGGTGTGTGAGGGTGCTCAGGACTCGCAGTCAGCTCAGCACCACTGCGCCTGATCATTTTGGATGGCTTAACGGATGCGGCGAACTTCGTTCCAAATTGAATCCTTTCCTCGTGTTCTTGGGTCGACTTTTGACCAGTGTACAAGTGGCAGAGGCAAAACGAAATTCGCCACGATCCTGTGAGTCTTGAGTCCGAAACCCCCAGCCTGTGACACAAACGACACAGGAATGTGGGAACTCTCTTCAAGGTCGCTGCAGCGTTTGGCCTCTCCGGCGTGCTGTGTTCGCCTGGCTGTTGCTGAGCCTGATGCTAAGTACTTTGGAGCCGCTACTGAAATCAAATCAAGTAGTAGTCGTCGCCGTCGTAGTGGTGGTTGTGGTTGTAGTAACTACTGGTAGCGGTAGCATGCGGTGGTGGTAGTCCTAGTCGGTCGGAGTCGGAGTATGAGTAGGGATGTTTGTAGCTGTAGCTGTAGCAGCAGCGGCAGCAACCTCTGGCAGAACCTAATCTGAAACCCGAATCTAATGCCAAGGTTGCGACCCTTTCAGTGCGCGGGCAGTTCGCGTCTCCGGTGGGCAGGTCTTCAGTATGCCCTGCTATCAGGGAGACCTGCCAGAGGCCACGCGTGTGAAGATTTTTTGTTTTGCATGGAATGTATCGTTGGAAGGTGCTGTGGCTCATTGTTGCTGGTTTTGTGCGGATGTAACCGTGGTGGTATAGTGGTAAGTCGAACATCGTTCGCAACAAAGATGCTGACCATGAATCAATACTTGGGATGATGATATTGATGACGAAACACCTGAAACCCGAGATTCTGGAGGCAAAAGCTTCCTAGATCCTGGGAGGGGCCTTAACAATTAGTTTAGATCTACGCAAGGATGCCCCTATGGCTTTGGAGGCACGATTTCGCCGGAAGCCGAGGCCCTGCACCATCTTCGTGCTGAAGGTGTCCTGACATTGGCTGCGGTGGTACAAGAGGGTGCAGTCTATTTTGACGAGGCGCTGGAGCCAGGTTTTAGGTTGTAGGGTTGCTGCGGGTGTGTTGATGGGCAGACTCTTTCCATGAAAGCAGCTTGAATTTGCAACATCATGCACCCGAAGGTACAAGAACTCCCACGACGATGGGCAATGGTCCTTGGGTCAGAGCACTTCGGCGTTGAGACAGCTGTGCGCGAAGCCTGCGACAAGTTGGTCAAGATCCGGATGGCCAGTGGTGTGGATTCCTTGAATGTAGCCGAGCTTCAGTTGGGCATGATAGTGTAAGCTTTCTGAGGTCATCATCTTGCTGTCCTGCTGCCAGCAAGATTGCATTAGAGTGTCTTTTCGAACTGCCCGAGTACTCGCTGCTGCATTTGATAGAACTGAAGTGCATACGCAGTCGGTTCGCCGTTGTAGTGGATCAGTTTGTTGCTTGACCGTGGACTTCAGGTGGTGATCTCGGGCGGCGTTCTGGTTCACGGCTGCGTAGAGCGTGAATCGCGAGAATGAAGTTTGACAACTGACTACGATCGATATAGTGCCGACAGTGCTCACAAGAAGAAGGCCTTCAACGGCATCATCCGCTGTGCCGGAGTCGCAGCATTGACGACATTTCCCGACAGCTGCGGAACTGTGCCACTCGACGTTGAAGCGCTGGGTCAGCGTGAGTTTAATGTCGACGAGCACCCTGACTAAGAACCGAGAACGCCGACAACCTCGTGGGCAGTAGGATTTTCACTGGCGGCCTCAGGCCTGCGAAGGCAACTCCAAATCGCTGAACCTTGCACCATGTCGTTCTTTCTGTTTGTCTGCGCTTATCAATAGCCAAATGCTTAGACCACGCAAGCACAGAGAGGACCCACACGGGCTTTGTGCAGTCCAGTCATCACAAAACGACCTCGCATGTTACAAGCTCCACCGAGGCAAGCAGATAGAACAGTATAGACCTGGTGGAAGGAGGATGACCAAGATCATGCGCTGGCCGCCAAGCTGGCAGCACGCTATGCTGCGGCCTGGGCCTTGGCTGAAGCGTTTTTGCATATGTATGTATGTATGTATGTATGTACGCACACGAAAGGATGTGTATAGATAGTTAGCTAGCTAGATAGAGAGCGAGAGAGAGGGGTATTTATATTTATATATCTATCTCTCTCTCTCTCTATATATATATACAGATACGTACATACATACAAAGGCCGAAAGCCCCACTCTCAGATCCGAAAGCTGACACACGGCGCCTAGCAGTGTGGTTCTAAACCTCAAAACTGAAACCCCCAGTCAGACATGATCTTGAAGTTTAGTGCCCTAAACCCTAAACCCCAACCCTGAAATTGAACCTCGCCTGGCTTGTCCCAGTTGTGAGAGCGTAACCCTGAAATTCGCTGCGACTGTTGCCCGGAGACTGGCCTGAATGAGACCCCCCTCCCCGGGAGGCCTCACTCTCCGATGTCTTCACCCTCCCCATCTATGACCTTAGAATCTTTGTGCTGTGGAATAGCAGGCTTACAATCACAGTCGTGATTCTGCAACTGCTGGATCGGAGCTACTCCGCGTGTTGATGCAGCCGTTTGTGTGGAAGTCCACCCCTGGAGTTCGAGTTCGAGACGAGCCCTAATCCCCTGCAGCTTATAAGGGCTTGTAATACTTCACGCAAGCCCTAAGCCGCACCTAGAATGGAGCTCTGGAGTACATTACCTTCTTTCGTTGCATGAGGGCTCTCTGTGGGAATATATGGCTACTAATTATCCCCAGAAAATGTCGGGACTAGGCCCTGACTTCTACGAGGTCATGTGCCTTTCAAAGTCGGTTTTGGGAGTTTAGGTTACAGGCCCTCTAGAAAGATTGGAACTGCCTCCCCATGCAGGTGGTCTGCGCCGCTTTGATTCAGGTCTCTAGTCGAGCCAGGTCAACCATGAACAGGTGTACTCTTCCACCCAATCATGGTGCTTGATTGCTTCTGTCACTGAAAATGCTGCAGCCGCACGGCGTTCTTGCTTCGAGGCTGCTTCACTTGCCTACCGGAGCCATCGGCATAACGACATCGAGGCCACGACGTGGGCTCTTGCTGACTCGGGGGCACCAGGCACTTGACAGGTTCTCGCTACGAAGCGCTATGTCTGACTGGGTGCATGTGTGTGTGTGTGTATGTGTGTGTGTGTGTGTGTGGGATGGTGGCTGATTCTGAGTGGTTTGGGTGCCACGCAGCACAAGTCCAACTCCCGAAGCCGGAAAAAAAGATGCAGGACCACCCTGTGACCCCCCAGGCAACACTCCTGAAAAATCCGCGCAACCTGACTCCCACGAGCTGAAGACTCCCTTTAGCCCCAGTCCCTGACATCCTTGAAGCGCCAGAATGCCCCCAAAGGCTCGTAAAACCGCAAAGCCCTAAACCCTTCTAAACCGCTACACCCTAAACTATCCAAAACCTTCCGCAAACCCGGATACGACCAGGCAGTCCTGGGCCCAACCTCCGCAATCCGCCGGGCTTTCGAAGGATGGACTCTGGGGCTCCGAGTCTACTTGGACTTCTTTAGGGATTTAGGATTTAGGGTTGGTTTAGGGATCTAGGGTTTAGGGATTTAGGGTTGAGGGATTTAGGATTTAGGGTTCAGGAGTCTAAAATACTTGATCGGGCTTTAAAAAAATGACCAATACTATTTTACCATTCCTTGCTACAAGTACAGCATAAAAGGTAGCCCCCACACAAACCCCAGTCGAACTACATAAGGCCCTATATTACTTGGACTTCTTGAGGTCTGGGTTTGGGACTTATGATTTGCGTAGGTGACCTTCGTTGCCGTTGCGCTTATAATAATTACTTTAATCTAGAGGAAGCATGTTATGGCAACAGGTATGGAATCTTGGTTATGGGAACGTTCCTGTGCATGGACGGAATGATATAGAAGCCAAAAGAACTAGGAATATTATTTCCTTATAGTCCCCGTACATATATATGAAACGCCACAAAACCCTACTGGAATTATTGCGACCCCTATCTTATGCGCTCTAAGCCCAAGTGTTCTATATTGTTTGAGATCCCTCGGAAGACTGCATGCTGCTGCCAGGTACCCGCTTCTTCAAGCAGGCAAACGGCCAGGACGCAGGCAAGACGGCTGTGTTTGTTTGAATCTTTAAGACAACCGTAGTATGTATAAGTTATGGTTAAGGGTTTAGAGTTTAGGGGTTAGCAATAGAGGAGTTAGGGCGGTGTAGTTGCAGTTGTTCCGGTTTTGTTGGGCCTTGGCTTGGTCTTGAGCGAACGTCTCTTTATTCAGGCCCTCCGGGTCGCATGGAACTTGTACTGTAGCTATTGGAGTAGTTCGTGAAGCCAACAGTATAAGGTTTACTATGTTTTGCTTTTTGGGGAAGCTGTTGTTTTGGGGGATGTGTTGGCAGTGTAGGATTTTGCAGGTCTTCCAGGCACAGGTCATGTTTGAGAGATTTCGGCTTGAAGACTTGGGACCCTCGAAGCATAGGTCCAGACCGGGGGAGTCGAGGAAAAGGTCTCGGCCTGCCACGCAACTCTGTGCTCGAGCCCCGGTGAACTCTGTGGCAGGAGCCAATGCAGCAACGCCGGCTTCCACCGGGACACCATCCCGGAGTCTGTAGGTCCTAGTGGGCTGTTGTGTGAAGTTGCCGCATCGCACCAAGAACCGGGACTGTTTCCAAGGCGGTGTCTCTGTCAAGCTTCCTATAGAAGTTCTGAGCAAAGTTGTTGTTGTTATATATATATGTAATGTAGTGTAACAAAATATTTTTATAGAACTCATCTATCTATCTATCTATCTATCTGTCTATCTGTCTTTCTCTCTCTCTCTCTATATATATATGTATATATATATATACATACATATTTTCTTGTTGTCTTATCGTGTAACCTTAGCAAAATAACATAGCTATAATATTGAAGCTCCCCCTCAAAGCGGAGTGACGAAGAACGACCCTCAACTGAGTTCAGGACCTCCGGCAGCCCAGTGCGGAAAGTCACGCCGGCCAGGAGAGCTCCATGATGGTTCGAGTTTTTAGGGTTTGGGGAGGGTTTTTGATTAGCAATTGGCACAGACGGTGCCTCGGTTCCTGGCATATGGTGGCCCGGGTGTAAAAGGGTTGTTGATTAAGCCCCTGATCGCCCCTGCCTGAGCCCTGAAAATTCAGTGCTCAAGCCCTATGTAAGTTCGTAAACGCACATATCGAAAACCCTAAACCCTAAGCCCTAAACCCGAAACCCTCAAAAAAAGCCCTAAACCCTAAAAACCCAGGGGCGGCAAACTGGCCAACAGAAACCTTGAAGCGCTGCAGCCCGAAAAACCGTCGACCTCCAGGACGAAGGCTATGAGCCGCGGGTCCAGCTTCCCTTCCCAAGGCCCGGGCGTCCGATAAGTTCGTCAGGGCTGTGGTAAAATCTTACAGGGTTGATAGGGCTTCGGGTTTACAGGTTTATCGGGTTTATAAGGTCCATGACAGATGGACAGCGATGAGTCATGAACCCAGGAGAGCACAGATGAAGCATGATGCTTTCGAGTCTCAGCCCTCACTGACAGGCCCTTTTCTTCGTGACTTAGTTTGGGGGAGAGTTGACAGAGAGACGGGTCTTTGAACCTTCTAAGAACTCTTCATTCCCAGGCCGTAGGGAAACAAGACTCCTGCGCATCTTCATTATGTACTACATACATGTGCTTTACATGGGGTTTTATGGCGTTTTCTCGGCTGCTTCCAGGATTGCTTAAGCGCGCCTAGGGTTTGGGGGTTTAGGGTTTGGAGATTGTGGTGTCTTCTGCAAGCTGGCGAGGCCGAACTCTGACCACGGACTATTCCAAATTTGCAAGCATGCAGAGAGCGTTGTAGGTATACCAAGAGTTCGCTGTACACCTCTCAAAGAATGCAAGCTGTCCAGTAATGAGTTGAGCTAGGCCCATAGTAGCTTTAAGTCAGCTTGCAAGAGCATGCGTTGCTTCAGGTTGCGATGCTGGATGCTCATCCATGGGCTAAAGTTAAATTGGCCCAGGTAAAGCCCCAGCCGCGGTCCTGTCCCAGTCCGAACGATCTACGACTCCAAGCAGCCTGGCTGAGCGTCATGTTTTATTTTATTTTTATTTTATGGGGATGGTATAAGATGGACTCCAGCGAGCTCGGATCTTGCAGCACAAGTCAGAATTCCTAAACCCTGAACCCCTAAACTCTACACCCCAACCCTTCTGAACAGCTACATGTATAGTTCCCTCGCAAGAGGAAGGAACCGAAAACAACTCCAACCTGGAAGCCTTTGTACCGTTGCACCTTTGTAAGTTACATGAACCCTAACCCGACATCCCATCAGAATAGTACAAGATTCAGGTTTTGAAAGGTCGAGAAGGGTCTAGGGCTCAATCCATTTCAGAAAGGGTTTGCGCTTCGAACCGGTGTTGGGGCCATTTTTGTCAAGGCTTCTCTGTTCCGACTTCCTAGACTGGAGCATCGAGGGCCCATGCTGGCGACCCTAAACCGTTTTCCCTCCGAATCTTGGAGTGGGT